TGTGTGTGTGTGTGTGTGTGTGTGTGTGTGTGTGTGTGTGTGTGTGTGTGTGTGTGTGTGTGTGTGTGTAGACAGAAGCGCAGCATGGGTCTGACTCTGGCTGAAGACGAGCTGTCGAAGCTGGACTCAGACGGAGGAAAAGACCCTCAGAATCTGGAGAGGGAATGTTGCTGCGCCGAAAACATACTGCCCAAGATAGAGGACATCCTGTGAGCTCACACACACACACAAACACACACACACGCAGACACATGGACACACACGCAGGCACATAGACAGAGACACACACACACACACACACACACACACACACACACACACACACACACACACATAGACAGACACACACGCACGCACGCACAAACACACACTCTCACGCACACACGCAGACACATAGACAGAGACACACACACACACACACACACACACACACACACACACACACACACACACACACACACACACACACACACACACATACATAGACTGGTACACACGCATGTAATTATTCAACTCCAGTGTATTCATACAAATGCTGCATTGATTTGGAGTCACCGGGTCACATTATATGGAAGCTATTGCAAAAGAATCCGGAATTTCAATCAGCAATCTGCACATTTCTCCATAGAAATATTCATATTAGAGAGATAATCGGACTAAGATGCAATAAAAAGATGTGTGTCCTACTTTTCCAGAGCAGTAATACAATGCTGCATTGACTTGGAGGCCACTGGGTCACATGACATGGGTCACATGACATGGTAGCTATTGGACAGAAATTAGACTTTTTTTCATGAAGAAACTGCAGATTTGTTCCTAGAGATATTCATTTAAACGAGAAAAAGTCCATAAAAAGATGTGCGTTCTATGTGTGCAGGGTAGACATACAATGCTGCATTGGTTTAGAGTCACAACAACAACAACAACAGCAACAAACCAAGCCTTATCAATGGTCGTTTGCTAACCCTGAGTTTCCTGTTGCAGGTTGCCGTCACAGCCCACAGAAGAGGAGAAGTGGTGAGAAGAAAGAGAGTTTTTATATCAATAATTATACATTTTTTATTCATTCCCCCAAAGTGTCTTGCATTGACGTTGCACATATCCAGATAGCAGATAGAAAACGGTTTATAATTGGCCTTAAATTAGATTTTAAGCCGCATTAAATGGGTTTTAAATGTAACGTACGTCAAGCTGCAGTAACCCTGTTGGATAAAAGGTCTTCTTAGGGTTTATTTTTACTCTTACTTTCTCTACATGTGTGTTTTTGCAACATGTTGTGTGATGAAATCTGCAAATGAGTACATATTGTCACACCATATCCTATAATATGTCATCAGCCAAACGATGCAGTACGTGATGCTCACCTACATGAAGCACCTCGGGGTGAGAGTGAAGGAGCCTCGAGGCCTCGAACACAAACGAGCTCGAATCAACTTCCTGCCCAAGATCAAGGTCCGACCCCTCGTCACACAATCATCTTATGAGATCACATGCAGCCCCTTTCAGGAAGTACTTCTAATGTGTTTCATTTCTAACGAGCAGAAGAGCCTAAAACCAGAGAAGGAGGGAGAGGAGAAAGTGAAGAAGCCTCGGTTTCCCAACATCCTCGGCCCGCCTCGACGTCTGAGCCGAGTCGACTCCACCTCAGGTGAGAGGGAGAATAACGTTTTACCACCGAGTTTGTTGTTTATTGTTGTTATTGATACCGTTTTTTAGATATCACAGAACCCACGAGGTTATGAATGTCAAACGAGTGCCATTGTAGGTCAATATAAAATACAGAGTCCATGGGAGGGGGTGATATTTAATGAAATGAATACATTTGTAAATAATTATGAGAAAAAACAATAGAATATTACACTTTGATTTTGTGATCTTGGATAATAAGCACGTTTTGGGTTTTTAATTTTCATAGAATAGAGTTTCCTTCTCTTTGATGTACCCCTTTAAACTTGGAAATATTGAGTCTTTTCACTCGATCTTACCCCCTCCCCAAGCCCTGACATTTCCTTTGTGTTGCCGACAAGGACCCTACAAAAAAATACAAATGTTGAAAGTAAAAAGTGTTAAATCCTAACGGCCTGTCCACACGGCGGCGTGCATTATCGCTTGCCGGTGGGCGTGTCTGAAACTCGACCAACAACCAATCACAGGAATCTCCCGCCCCTGACACACAAGCACGCGGTTTGATTGGCTAGAGCTTGTACTGGCATATGATTTGATTGGATGATGGCATTCAAAGTGAATGGGCATTAGCGTTGAAGCTTCAACGCACGCCGCTGTGTGGACTGGCCGTTAGAGCATAAAACATGCTTTAAAAATCATTTTAAAGCAATATTAATGTTAGAAAAAGTGTTTTTTGAGTGTGACCACGTGTTAATATGGTTTGTATCATTAGTTTTCAATGGTGTGGCTTTTACATATTCCTACAAACATGAATCTACTAGTGATGGGAATTATGGCTCTTTGAAGGGAGCCGGATCTTATGGCTCCGTTCCTTTTAAAGGGGGCGTGGTTACTAGGTTTATCTGCGAAATAATCACCAGGGCCCAGGAGTTCAAAACTTTTAATCTCAATCAGATCCGATCAGATTTTGAAATCGCATTTTTTGTGATCCAGGATCAGACAAGTCGGACAGATTTTGTCCCTGGAGTTCAAAGCAGTTCAGGATAGGATCAGCCTGATCCAGATTACGACTTTTCATGATGACTAGATCCTGAATATCAGTGCTTTAATCCTACCGATCGCCATCTAGTGGACATGAAAAATAATACAAGGAAGACAAGAGACCAAATGCAGACATCTATTGTCCGCAATTACTTTTGAAAGGTGATGACAGATGGACTTTTTTTTTGTTGAAGGTATTTTTTCTTTAATCTAAATTACATTTGTGATTGA